CCTGTATCACAGTCCCCTTTATCTCCTGCACCTGTATCACAGCCCCCTTTATCTCCTGCACCTGTATCACAGTCCCCTTTATCTCCTGCACTTGTATTACAGCCCCCTTTATCTCCTGCACCTGTATCACAGTCCCCTTCATTTAGTTGATTCCTTGCTTGCTTGTTTATCTCTATCCAGTTGTTATTTTGCCTTTGAGAAAGATTCTGCAAGGATCAACAAGTTGGGTGCGCAAACCGTTTTCATTTATATCTCAGGTCATTGTAACCAGCAAGCAGTTTGGAGCAGTTTCTTTATTATTATCAACGTTCAATTTAACTTTGTTGTTCCGTTGCATGCTTGCCTGGTGCATTTGTGTAAGTCAGAATTGGTTTTTTTCATTGTACAGGATAAAGAATAGGTTTCTCTGTTCCAAGACTCTGAATAAATGTCAGTTTCTCACGCGGCTGAACCTGAGCAGAACTGACGTGTCAAATAAAGGTGAGACACATGACAGGATACCTCCTTAAGCAGTGAATGTGAAAAAAAGTGTCTTTGATATGAGATGGCACCCAGTCTTGAGGTGATTCTGTACATTATATATGCCATACAGGGTCTAGGAGCTAGTCTAATTTGTGCTGGTTGTTAAGCTTCATCTTCCTTGGTATGCACTCATGAATGTTTATGGATGGAACAGTGAATGGTAACCAGTGAATGTTATGTCACATTTGCATTAACTGGCTGTGGCTCACAGTAACATACAAACCTATGGGGAGTTCCTGCAGTCACTAGCCATCATCTTGCATACATACATGAATAATATCTAGCTGTAGCAACATCTTTAAAACATAGCCCAAATATTTTCCACTCAGCCAGGCCAAATAGGACCCTCTAATAACACTACATCTTAATGGTGCCTTAGTCGGGGTCTGACTTAACAAAGAATCCTTAGTGGCGGCAAAGACCCTAAAGATACAAGTCCCAAATGACCTGTCCACTATTATCTGCATTATTTAGGGCTCAAAGATGATACAAACAGTAGGGAACCAGTCATGCAGAACCGGTACATTCACAGCTACCTAACATTCCAAAAAGGTCGCAGTATTTAGAGCTCAAAGATGATTCAAACAGTAGGGAACCAGTCATGCAGAACCGGTACATTCACAGCTACCAAACATTCCAAAAAGGTCGCAGTATTTAGAGCTCAAAGATGATCCAAAAGTAGGGGACCAGTCATGCAGAACTTGTAGGTTCACAACTAGCAAACATTCCAAAAGTCTTGCATTATTTTAAGAGCAATTTTCAATTTTTCTTTGACATCACCCAGGCATCGAGGCCTTACAGTTGCCACGGCTGACCCTCCTGAATCTAGACTCGACCTGTGTCACAATGGAAGGTGCCAATGGCATGCATGGCTGCCCTAATCTCAAGGTGGTTCGTACCAATAACCTCAGAGTTTACAGGGGTGAAGAAAATGATGACTGAAAATATCTTGCTTTTTAAACCAATCAGTTGGTGAAGAAAGGTTACAGATCAAGAGAAAATAGGAATCTCGCTGGGTTTTTTTTTAATCACACGGATGTATGCTAACAGAAGTTTTAAACCTTACTTGAAAAGTCTTTTAAGGTATTTAGCATTTATCTTCAAATTTGAATTTTTTTCCAGCTTTTGAAAATGACAATGAAAATAATCAAATGCTCATCTGCAATTTTAAGTAGCTGCAAATAAAAGTTTTTTTTAATTTTAAAAAAGATACAGGAAAAGTTATTCCAGCTATCCACTTTGAGTGGAAGCACCCCCTCATTGGTTGAAAAGAGCTATATTGGTCAGAAGTGTTCATTTTGGTTGTAGCAAAGCAACCTCAATGCATGCATTTCACAGTTGTTTGGAAACCAGAGAAGTGCAGTTCCGACCAGAGGAGCTTTCATTGCTAGGAAAATTGCGCCCTCTCTGGGTCCTGCTCGGGACTCATTGCCAAAAGGTTTCCCAAGTAGTTACTTTGTACAATTCCTGGCAAAGTGACTTCATTGTTAGTGAGACATTCTGACCATGGTGTATTTGTCTTGTCATCGTGCATGACTACCATTGTGACTGAGGTTATGGTCCTTGGCAGTGTGGTATAGTGTATTTGATTTAACAGCTTCTGACAGGTAACAACTAACTAAAAAACTGGTAAGAGAGTTTGCAAACTTAGACGGTACAGAGGTGGAATATGTTGATGAGTTATGGCCTCATACTTTGCTTTCGTCAGTTTCTGTTTTTAACCTTTTTGTGAAAGTTACTCATTTTATGCAGAATGTTTTAAAAAGCAATACCTGTGATTGTACAAAATTACAGTTTTTTATCAGTGATATCTACCAATGAAATCTAAGAAATGATCATCAGCAGTCTTTTCAGGTTTGTTCTATAAAAGTGTAAAAAATAAAATAAATCTGTTATTCTGATGGCTGTCTTTAGAGTCCTCATTTTTTTAAACAGGGGATCGCTTACAAATATTTTTAAATAGTCCGAGGAAAAACACCTGTAGCAGAATAAAGATTAGTTATGAGTGACAGTGGCTTTCTAATAAAACCAGTTGAGTCTCTAATAAATCTTACAGGAATACAGCCTCAGGCTCTCTTTAATGTGAAGGGATCACAAAAGCTCAGTTTCAACAAGAAGGTCCTATGAAAATAAGTCGGCTTGTGGTCAGGGTTTCCAGTCCTTGCATTGGGCCTTGCTAGCAAGCCAGTTGTACTACATCCTTTACAATCAATAATTAAACCTGTCGGATCTTGTCTCTAATCCATACATGCTGAAGTCACATTCAACCTTACATCCAAATTTTAAGCTTAAATGGAATGACCCCTTTGCTTCTGTATGATGATAGGATTTAATGAAGTGATAATTAACCACAGTTCAGGTTTTACAAGTTTTATATCTACAGTTGTTAAAAGAGCAACAAATGGAATACAATCAGGAAACCCTGGACATGTTGAAATTACAGACTTCTTGGTATCATTTGAATGTTGAGACCAATTTTACATCTTTCTACAACTGTTTGTAACTTCAGAAGATACTGGAGACTTTGATCAGATCTTTCGAAATAGATTGTCTTGGCGTTTCTTAGAATATGGGCATTATGACGAGTTCAGTAGCTTGCAAGTTCATGAGTTGTTATAAGCGTTTTGATACCGTGCATGAATGTATGGCGACAGCGTTGTTTGGTGGAAGTACAAGTGACTACTTAGTGTATGCACAAACTGTTTCATTTTGTATATCCGTCATTGTACTGAGTATTATTCTGGAAAGATAATTAAATCAAATTAAAATTTCACCCAAAATAATTTGATTTATATTAGTCAGGAAAGAAACCGACATTGTTTAAACTCGGGTTTATTTGGGGATTTTTAAGTACCAGTGTTACTTTCATGATTGTATGTTTTACTGAAATGATTGTATTGTGAATGTTTGGAGACTGACGTTCAAGGAATGCGGCTTGAGCACCCAGCAGGGTGGATACGTGCGCAATATAAATCTGGATTATTATTATTATTTCCAGTTTTAAGACTCAAATGAATTGTATAAAGTGAGGTGAAGTAGAGTTTATTCCCCAGTGTAATCATCATATCTTGCAAATTTATGTGTGCGAAGATTTCCAGTATCAACATGAATGCATTTAGATGATTAACGGAGAATCGTTGGTGCTCACCTTCCTTTGGTAATCAATCTTGGAATGTGAACCTTTTGTTTTGTTTTGTTTATTTTAGTGGGCTTTACCTTACAGAGAACATTAAACTCACTTTGCCAACTATGACAGGTGTACATATGTAGTCCTCATTTTGGAATATTTATGATTCTGTGATGTGACCTCTAACAGGCAGTAGGATGTGTGGCCGAAATAAAATAAATCTTTACTTTGTGATGGATCGTTTGGAATGATTGAATTAAGGAGTGTGCAGTTGCGGTCATAAATTCAGGTTTTGAAGGGGGATGGAGAATTCTTTCTGACTCCTTTTCACCATCCCTGAAAGAACCCCCCCTCCCTGGGGCACGTGTGTTTAACATTTTTAAAGTGTCGTTCTTCCAATTAAACAAATGAGCAAAAGGTGGGGGGGGGGACTACCCTTGACCCTGGCGATGAATCCTTCTACAGTGGGGTTGTCATTATATTCATGGGCGGAGGTTTGGGGTTGGGGGGGTTGGGGATACACCCCCCCCACACACACACACATAAACACACGGTGGGGGGGGGTTAAAATATAATCACCCCCCCCACCATTTCAAGTTACTGACTCACTATGCACATCCTTAGCGTGCACCACCGTACTCTACACTTACCAGCATCACGATCTCACCTTGGGTGAAGGTCGTGTTGAACTTTCAGAAATCATCCCCCCACATGTAACAAGAAATCTCCACCCATATTATGATGCCCAAATTATGGTTCAGTCCCACTAGTGCAAGTACAGTGAAGAGCACACCAAATCTTAGAAAAATGTGGCATAACAGTAGAAATCTGTGTGCGAGCAACTGTTTTCATCGGTACACATTTCCTTATTATGTCAGCAGGAATTCATATCTGAGAGAAATAGCCCATAAAGTGGAGAAATTGCTCTACCAAAAAGTCCCATGATGCGACTTCACAGTCCCACCTGCACCTCCAGGTCACAGTTTTTTCCATATGCTCTCCCGCCATCACTTCACAAACTATAAATTTATTGATGAGTATTGGCTCAGTCTCTTTCATGGCCTTGACGCTGCTCATTAAACATCCATTTCACCGGGCTCTCTCTCTCACTAGTTGATTGGTATTAGTGACAGAAATTTCTTCAGGCGGGTGAGTATTTTGTTACGTGTTCGTTTCTGAGGGTATTTCATGACACGGCTGTTTGCTTAGCTAACCGTGTGTGGAAAGTTACAGGTAGTTAATTTATCGATTTTTGTGCTGGCAGGAAATCGTGCTACTTGCTGTTCCTCATAGAGTTGCCAAGTTCGATTGATATTTACAGGTAACTTTATCTGTAATGTGTAATATTGAGCATGCAGCTAAGCAATTAAAGTAGTCTGTCTGACACTTTTTGCAACATTAATGTTGCAGAAGTTAAATAAGAAACGACATCTCATTTCTGCTCATTTTCCAAGTTGATTTTTTGAAGCCACGTCTGTCTTGATTCTTTTGTTTTCAGTGCTGCCGATGTCATAAAGGTAGGAAAGAATTTTTTTCAGTGTACAGGCGTGTCATACATAGTGTGGACCTCTGCACAAAAGAATTCCACATGATACAGGGTACGATGGCGTTGTGTGGACTTGCACATGTCCACACAAGGATTCTCCCTCTCTGGAAAAGGGGTTTAGAGGCATTTTGGAATAGGGGTCATCTGTGGTAAAATGAAGAGGAATAGTTACGGAAACCGTGTACAAAAATGAGCCAAAAATCTTGTTCCTGGTTGAAGAAAAATGAGTATTTTCACTGAGTTTTCTTAACTGCACGGAAACAAAGGAATGTCCACAGTAACATAAACATGTGTTTTTACAAGTGTCAGCACAGGTACTTTTGTACTGGCTCCATTCAGAGGAAAATGTTGCCTTATTGTTTTCACACACGCAGAGACTGTTTGTCTCCGTCTTCATTTTGATTCATTTTAGTCAGTTTATCGTTGATTCTGTGAACCGTAGAGGGAAAAGATGCTATAATGTTGGGATCATAGTCACATTTGATGCACGTTTCATGGTACATTTTGAATGATTCAAATCTAAAACTTATGCACGTGTATTAAAAGGCCTGGTTCACACTTGGCGCGAAAACGAGCACAAATGCAAATTTGTTTGTTATTGAAATTGTTCTTTGGGAAAACTTCGAAAATTGTGAACGGTTTTTCAGTTACGATCTTGAAGGCTATAATTGCGAAGCAGTGGCGTATTGACCCGTACCTCCTAGGGTGTATGTATATTGGGATGGGAGGATTGAGGACTGTCAGGGTTAAACTAGGGTAAAATTAAAGTTCTGGGGCATTCGGAGTGAACACTTTTATTAATTAAGGGAAACTGACAACAGATGAACTTGGCATTATAATAACTATGTTATATGAATCATTCAAAAGGAGGCACTTAAGGCACAAACGTACACACCCCGGAGGGAATCACACCGATGCTTAAACCAAACGAATGTGTAAACTTGGACTGACGGGGGAGGCAGCTTTGGGCATTGCCCCTCGCCATGGCCTGTACCTCTGTGTGCTCCCCCCCCCCTCTAATTAAAAAAAAAAAAGGACAAATCTGGTGGTTGTCTTCCTTGGTCAGTGACTAACTTGGATTTCGAAACCCGAACTTGGGCCTTGCAATATAAAGGTATCCCACCCTGGTTGCAGCACCGTATAAAACAATGAACGATAGTGCCTTCAGCGTCCCCGCTGCGGTTTCCCCAAATATTCCGAGATCTGTCGCGGGTCCTTTACAGACGCCTGTGTTTCCTATGTTAGTTTGGAAACGCGTTAATTCAAAGGTCATATTAGGTTGCCTTTTACACTATTATGGAGCGAATCGAGTAGCAAGGTCATATACAAACGGCCGGGCCATCGGTGCACAGTCCCCTTATAATAGCCAAAATACAACACATTCCGAACAAAGTGACTTTTCGTTGGGTCGAGATTAATATAAACAGATTCACCAATGGATTTTGTTGTCATTAGCTAGTCGAGTGAAAAGTTGTACAACTTGCGCTTTGAATTTAAAATTTGAGGGGTCACTTTTTGTTGTGGTTGTCGTGCATCGGCTCATTGAGTACGTGTGAACGGATGTGAATAGAAATTAAAAAGGATGGGCCAGATGATCCCGGCGCCTTCTCGTCATGCATGGTTTCTCTTTCGCGCTGAAAAAAAAAGCCTGAGCCAAGACAGTAGAATATGGTAGAATGGCTGTCCATGTTTTGTTTTCACACACAAAAAAACACTTGTTTTCAACAACCAACCGACTTGCCTCCGTTTGTGATTTTCTGTTCAAGATTTAATGTACATGCACTATGTTCGGACAATTTAGCCGTCGTCCAGGGGGCGCGCTCTTTAAAAGCAGAGGGCTGTGCTCAAAGCCGGGCCGCCACCTTGCGGCTTAATTCTTTCACATGTGTCATTTCCAGCCGTAGCGGGGGCTGCTAGTGCGTGCACTGCATATACTTGTACATGTGGGCTGGCCAAACACTGCTAAGATTCTTTCATTATTTCTAAAGGTGTACTGATAATTTCGATTGGGCGTTCGAGCACTTCAACATTCATTTTGTCGTTAAAAATATGAGATTTGTTTAAGAAAAGTTATAAAATATGTGTATTACATTCGCTGAACATTTATTTGACCCTTTTGTCAGGTTAGAGTATGTTTTAATATGCCTACACGGAGTGGTACCAGTGCAACACCCCCTTCAAGAGAATGGTTTCGACCTTGAAGTGCACTTGTACTCGTCGAATACCCGCACAAAGCTAGCTGTAGTTATCAACTTCTATTGATTAATGTATTTTGTGTTGGGGAGTCTGTGTGGTACACGTACACACACGACGTTATGTACAATTTTACCACCACCTGTGGTAGTGTAGCGGTCGTCGAGTCAGAGAGCAAGATTGAGCGAATGTTGTCAAAACCTGGAACTTTTTATCTTTCAACTAGTCACCTACCTATATTGAGAATGTCTTGATATGACACGGACTGGATCGTGAAGATGGCGAGTTTGAGAGAAAGAAGCCCTGGACCAGGCCGCAACCAGGACCATGACGGGGCCGGTGGCTCGTCAGGGCCGGGTAGACCGGCAGCTGGCTACGCTAGTACGGCAACGTCAACAACAGCTCCAGAAGAAACGCCGACAAGTGGCAGCAGCAGCCGTGAAAAGACGACGGCCCCTTTCCGGCGAAAATTGACCCACACTGCCAAGACACTGTTCATGAGCAACTTTCAGGCCACTGTGACTTATTGCAGCGTGTTCTGGAGTTTTGGAATGTGCGTTGCTTTACTGGGGCCGACTTTGCTAGACCTTGGTTGTCAGACGGGAAGTAGCGTAGCTAGCATGAGTTGGGCCTTCTTGTCCCAGTCTCTAAGCACTTTGATCGGCTCTATGATAGGAGGAATGCTGTCAGATAGGTAAGTTTGTTTGTTTGTTTGTTTGTTTGTTTGTTTTATTCATGTTGGAATGAGGAGAAAAAAATTTATACAGACGCTGCTTGACACCTTAACACAAACCACAAATCACTTTTTGACTGGCATGACTGGTCTGAAAATTTACGTCAACACAAGTCCGAATAATTTGGATCGTCTTGGACTCTGCAAATCGCCGTTTTTAACATTTGGACAAGTTACTCGGACTAGGCCTACCTCAATACCTCAATATTGCTTTCAGATGGCTAATACTAGGTTACTGCAGGGAAAAATTAGTGGCGTCCGTATATGGAATTCTTTCCACATTTTTTCTGATAAATTCATGTGCTGCTGAAATTCCATCTGCAGAAGATATTGTGTTTATAATGTGTTCAACCAGAACTGTGTGTATAGTACACTCACTGCGGATACATCTCTGCATGCATTTTCACAATTTTTTAGTTGGAACTTGTTGACTCTATTGCAAGGTGCACCGGGTTTCATGTACAACACATTCATTGTGTGAGTCCCATTTTAAGCAGATTCTCAAAGGAAGAAATGCATTCCAGTGTTGAATAATACCAGGAAATGTTTTTAGTCAGTGTATACACAGAGACAAAGGTTTTACATAAATGTATGTATGTGTATCTAGTCACAAGTAAGAATGACTGCACAATTTTATGTTTGTGTACATGTATACTTCAGTAGGCCTACACATGTGACTGGATCCCACAAAATGAGTCTTAAAGCCATATTTTTGGTTATTCCATTTTAGTTTACACACACACACACAAATCAAATTGAGACATTTGTTTTGATGAATCACCCATTTTGGCATCCAGATGCAAATGGAGAAAATATGAGTGGAAAATGTTGAGGATGCCCACAGATTTACACAGTACAAGAGTCTATTAAAAGCTTGTCACTCATAAGTTGCTATGGCAACTTTTGATTCGTTTTGTTAGGTTGTGTTGTATATAATTATATTGTATTTACATAACTCGTATCTCCTTTAGTGTCAGGACAAAACACAGTGATTTCCGTGTACTTTTCACCATAAAGGTTACACGGTTTCCTGTTGCCAAATTTCAAATAGTTCATTGAATTATTTGACATTCTCAAGATCCTGAGTTATAATTGGTAAACGATTTGTGTTCATTTTCATTTCCTCATGTTCCTCCTCCAGCTGTTCCATTAACTTATTCACAATCCATCTGGAAGCAGTTTGCACTCACTGGATATTGCTTCTTTTTGTTATTTAAATTTCAATTTAACATGGAGGTAACTGAAGTCAGGAATGGATACTGAAGCCTGAGTTGTTTTTCACTGTTTGTCGTTGAAAACCCTCGAGTGTATGTGTTTCTCATAAGTTTTGCTGACAGCAAAATAGAATATTGTAAACCATACCTCTGAATTTATAAAATGCTTGGTCTGTTCTGCTCTGGCTTCTTTTTCATCTCAAAAAGACTTCCAAAGTGAGATTTGTTTCCTCAATTTGCACATAAAAACATTGTACATAAAAATATGAGCCAGTACCTTAAAAACAAAAAATGCCATTTAATGGAAAAAAATCACTTCTTATCATTAAAAATAACTGTAGTTAAAATGCAGTGAATAAGACAGGATGCCTTGTCATTGGATCAGTAACTTGTATTTATTAGGGAAGTTAATGCATGATTTAGCAGTGAAACACATGTTGTTTAGAGTATATATTTGGAAAACATGGTACGTCCAGACTTATTGATTTTTAGACTGCATGTATCTTTGCATAAAGAAAGCGTGTTAGCTCCATTAGCATTACACATTTAAGTTAATGATCAGTTCATTGGGAAGAGGAGACAGATCAAACCCGACCCTCTAAAACCCACCAATTCCATTTTTCTGGATTAAGGAGGATAGGCTTACTTGTAGCACTCAGTCCCCCCTTGAAAGAAGTTACAGAAATATTCTGTACCTTAAGTTTCTGCACCAAGTTCTTTGCCAGAGGGAAAAGCATCTCTTCGTTTTTTTTCATTTAAAGCAGATTTGGGTATCCAATATCCAGAAACATATAATCCTACTGGTACATCTGAGTCCTACAAAGTACCAGTAAAGGTGTACAGGTGTACATAGAGGAAGGTCAGGTTAAATATGAAAAACTGTTATATTAAGAGTGAGAGATGACAGTGAGACTCTGGAGGGGAGCTTAACCACTTCCTGCCGGGGACTCCGGAATTGGAGACGTATGGTTTATATGCGTGGCCGGGCTCTCCGAACTCAGACAAAGGAAACAGGGCCCTGTAACAAAAGACCGTACTCCAAACAAAAGACCAGGCTGCTGGGCATTATTGACATTTTTCACTCTCAAAAGTGGTGATAATCCAGCCTTGTTTTGAAATTGTATACCAGGGTTTGGGGCATCTATAGCGAGTGGATTACCACCTGGGACAAAAGCGCTCCACCACCGCAGCGATGAGCCACACAGCACCGCTGCACGCTAATCTGGCCCCTATTGAAAAGAGGTCAGCAGCGCACTGAGCCAGGTTCATGAACAAAAGAAAGTTACATAACACCCACAATCTGGGCTCTTTTTACAAGGATGCGGGCCTGGCTGAAATACTTGGGTGTCAATGAAGGTCACCTGTCAACTTAGAGTAGTGCCTAATGATTACTTTGTGTGGCTATAAACGACCGTTAAATGAAATGATGAATTTTTGAAGAATTTTGAAAATGTACCAATACCTCCAGCTATGCCTTGATATGAAGACACATCTGCTGTCCATCCTCAGTACTCCAGAGTAGAATACCTCTCCATTAACGCTACAAGTGTATTCTTCGCAAACATTGGATTTGAGCCTTTCTTCCCCTAAATGTCTTAGCCATTAATGCATTGTAAAAAAAAAAATCCTCTGAAATGTGCGGTTCGGACAGAAACTAGACACAACTAGACCTCTGTTAAACCAGTATACTCTGTAGACTACGTGCAGTTTACAATTTGACAAGTGTTTGTGTCCATTTGACAGTCTCTTAAAAGCATTAACGGCCTTCTCGTATTCCCCGCAAGCATATGGCGTGTCACACCCCATGACTCTGTAGCCCTCATGTGTAAAATATCACAACTATTGATTTCAGGTGGCTAGGACATTGAAATGGCAAGCAGGAGCAGAAGACGTCACATGGCAGAATCATCAAGCACTTTAATTCCACCCTGCTGCATGTATCAATGCAATTACGGCTTTTAACACCATTGAAATTGGGAAGTAATCTATCCCCAAGAACATCCTTGGCCAGGACACTTAATTGCTCATAATTTGTTTGGAAGGTAGGCGGGGAGGAAATCGGAGAGCTTTGTTATACATGTATATCATTAGTGAAGGTGGAGAGACGGGAAGAGATAGTATTCGGTTAGGATTGGTTGTTGACTGCAGACAAAATACAAGTACGTAATGTCCATGCATTCACATTTCCTCCAGATAACCACGTCAGGCTAAATAGTCCTCTGGAAATTCTTGTATTTGTATGTAACTGTATATGTGTACTCTAATTGGGTAAGATTTGTTTATTGAAGGCATCAATTCTACCATATAAATTCATCTCTTTATTCAGAAAAATCATTGAGCCGTAGCGTGTCAGAGCATCGGCAAAGCTTGCAGGCAGTACTTGTTTGTTTATAAAACCAAGGATTCCTGCCAAGCTGCTTAGCTATTCCTTCCTCCATGCTTAACCTGAAGAAATTGATGGCATAAAGAAAAGTAGATAAGAAGCAAACTAGAGGATTAGAGATGTGTCCCCCAGCCCTTCCATCTTTAAACTCAGGGATGACATATCCTTCCCCAGATGTTGAACCCTCGCTTCAGTTTTGCATGATTTTGCATGCTATACATGTATGTACACAGATTTTTTTCTGGATAAATGACTATTGATTTTCATCATTTCCCAATTTTCAAATATATAACCTTGCCTTTTGGGATTGAAACCAATTTAATGGAAAATTCCATTTTCAGAGACATAAATATTTAACCTCTCCACAACCCCCTCCCCTAAAGTGAAATTTCAGTATGAAGTCCATTTTAAGACTGTTTTTACCCCGACCTCTGGACATTTGTAACATGAACCCACACTACAATCTTCATTTAATCTAATAGGAAATGCACAGTGAAGCAAAGTTGGATGCATCATCTACATGTACATATATGTTGACTTGTGCAGTCAGCATAGAACATGTAACAGCAGACTCTGTAATTGATCCGTCCTCATTATGGACCCATTGTCATTATAAATCTAGAACGTAAACTTTTTACATTTCCTACAAATTTCAAAAACAAACAAACATGACTAGACAGATGACCCATTAACCCAAAATGTAGTCCTACTATCCTGCTCAAAAACTTTTCTCAGTGATAGTTTGATCCCCTTATTGGGAAAACCAAGCTTTTTAAAGTGTCAACTTAAAGGGGTTGGGCCATGTAGGGTTAAATTGACGTTATATGATAGTTTCAACCTTCTTACATGTATATACAGTAAGTTGGATCAACCCTCTTTATGTTATTAAATCAGCAAAAATTGGTGTTTTCTGTGTGCTTTTTCAGTCTCTGCCTGGGCTCTTTGCAAAAATTTATCGAAATCGGTCAATGAGGGCAGCAGACAAATCTTGGCAAACGTGACGTCATAGGACGGACTCGACTTTCCAGACCAGAATGCATAGTTCTGGCAAAAAAAGTTGATCAGTCCAAGCAAGCGGTTTGCAGTGCACAGTGAAAAAAAATTGTCGGAATGGAACACCAACCTTGACAAAAACCTACCCCCCAAAATCACTGAAACACACAACAAAACAACCAAACTGGCGAAACAGATGAAAGAAAGTAATCTAGCTTTCCCAGTAGGCAGGAGGCCCTAAAGACAAAACCCAACCCAACGTCAACCTGTTTACCGCCACCTGGTTTTGCCGGTTGTCGACAATAATATGTGCATGTTTCACTTTAAAACAGGATTTATCAAACAAACATCAGCGAATACAGCTATCAAAT